CAGGACCATGTCTAAACTGCAGAGTGCAAGAATGAGCCAAGCACAAATGTTGAACATCTGCAAACACCTTAACCCTTTCCTGTGCTGTATATACTAATATGTGTTTTTGGACAGACGAAGAGTTATCCAACCATGTTACTGTACCACACGAAGCCAAAAGGATGACATGTGTCATGAGGAGGATAGCTCGCGGCGAGACATTACAAAAAGGGATATAGAGATGTGTGGTGCGCCACCAAGAAGTTTGCACTGGAACTCGGCTAGGAGGAAATTGTCAATAGTGTCCTCTTGTTCCTAGTAGTACGGCCAGGAGCCCCTAGTAGCGTCCTTGCTCCTAGTAGCGATGCCAGGAGCCCCTAGTAGCTTCTTGTTCCTATAATGCATTCTGAGCTCTTTGGTTGGAAAAAAAAAGGCGTAAGTTGCGTTGCAGTGCTTGCAGAGCGTAGAGCGCAGGCCTTCCTGGACGCGTAGGGTGCCCCAGCCGTTTTGCGGTGTGCACAACCGGATCATTTCAGCCTCAGCATGAGGACATTGTCCTTGAAGCAGCTCATTGGAGTACTGCATGAAATGCCTGTATTTCTCGTTTGCTTTGTCAACTGGCTGATGAACTGGAAGCTGAGCACAGACTGACGGCAAGTCTTCTTCTTGGTGACAAGTGTGGTAAACATCTTGGGACTTGTGTTTGGGGCGTCAACAAAGTGTGGAGCTCATCAACATCACCACCGCTCAGCACAACTGCGGTCGACAAAGTATTGAGTTTCTCGGGATTGTTGATGAAGTAAGTGGGAGATTGAAGTTGCACCATTGGGGGGAGCGAGCCAATCCCAACAGCAGTCCTACAAAAGGGATGACCTTCTAGGGTGATTGATCATGATGCCGATTGGGTCCATCAAGACTCTTTGGAGAGCCCACAAGTCAGAAACGATTTTGACTCGTCCGCTTTCCCTTGTTTGCAGAGATGTTCTTAGAGATTTCTAAGAAGTAATTTGACAAAGAGCGATCCCAGGCACTTTTGCTCAATAGAACATAGTTTTTGACAGCTGCATCAGAGGATTCGTCCGAGAATGTGAAAAGAATTTACCTTTGTAGTGACCTGTTCATAGAGCAGCAGTCGTTCAACAGCAGAGCAGGGGTGTGATTTTAAAGAAAGTTGGACCCTCCAAAGGCCTCCGTGTTTTGAGCGTGGTTTCCTTGTTTGAGACAAACCCACCTCGTACTCTCACATGTTTGTGATCGCATTTCCTTCCACACAGCTTCCATACTCCACACGCCCCTACACGAGCAAGGTCCTTTGGAATGCTGCTTTTGACCTCTGTGGGCAATGATGGGAGCGTGGTCCAGTCACAGGCGACGAACGTTGTTGCAAAAGATCAAGTGGCTAAGCCCAGTTTGGCTAAGGCAAAAACCTAGAAATACCTAGGTCAAGGGTTTCAGGCTGCTTCAGAGGGAGTTTCTCCCACCTGTGGAAGTCATGACTGGTATAATGTGGCAGAACTGGAGGCTCTGCTTGAGAAAGGCCTTATTCTCCTCATCCCTTTGGAGGATTTCCATGTTGGCTTTCCAGGCTGAGTTTGAGTCGTAAGTGACCCCGAACAAAAACGATGTTCTTTTCTCCGTCTAAGCGAGGGGCACCCAGCTTTGAACAGAAACTCTCAGGCTTCGATCACCTCACACGCTTGTCACACTAACTCTGGTCGCATTTTGGGCCAAAAGAAGCCCCGAAGGCCCAACAGATCGTACTGGTGGAGTCGGTGGCCTTCGCCATCGTGGCCGTCCTGGTGAGCACCGTGGCCACCAGGTACGTGGTGGCAGGGTGGAAGGGCCGGCAGTAGAGCGAATCTCAGGCAGTTTGGGTTTTCTTGGGGATGTTCTTTTTTTGGTGTTTTACTAAGACACCCGAAGGACGTGGCATACAGATCTATATCAGAAGGGAACAGATCACCTTGATTGTTCCCAAAAGTGATGCAAGTCGTGTCATTCAATTTTAGATCTGCAGAGGCTGCAGAGGTAAGTGTAGATCCACCGACTGACCAGCCGAAAGTCAGGCTGATCAATGAACTCTTGGGCCTGGACGAGGAGGCTCGAATGAGCTCAGCTGGCACCATGCTGCGACCCCGCAGGTTCTCCAAGGCATCAAGCGATGTCAGTGTGCATGTGGGTCATGAGTCGAATCAATTGGGGTTTACTCAAGTTTTTTGTTCAACGCATGCAATCTTACAATGACTTGAAACATGTGTCTTGGACAATTTGCATTGGTGTTCCCCAAAGTGACACGAGTTTACCCACACCTAGACAAAATCATTAGTTTCGCAAAGACCCAGCCCGCCAGGCAAAATAACTTATGGGTTGCAAAGGAGAGGTGAATGGATGGTTTCGGTTGTCACTCCAGTCGCCGAAGGCGATGCCACTTACCCTTTGTCGATTCCCATCGGTTCCACTCCGTTCCGCCAGGAGCCCCAGGAGCCTCCGCCCAAAGTGGCGAAGCGTTGCGACTAGACTGGCGTGAGACAAAAGGTACTTCTGTAGACACCCCGGGAGGTCCGGGGGTAGTGAAGAAGCCTGGCGAAGAAGCATGAAGGTAGCACCCCCACACCACCCATCCTTTGGTAAATGGAAAACAATGGCAACAAGAGCAGAACTGCCAGGGACGGGACATTGAATCGGATGCATTGCACTCGGAGTGTCTCCAAGAACTTCACACAGAGAACCTGTTTTCGAAAAGATTTGGATCATCGACACCTCAAGCAAGTATTAAAATCTCAGCTGAATGCGATTATCGAGTCTCAGATTGAGGGAAAGATCGTTTTGGAGGAAGAGCAGTGACACCATGGCACACCGCCATGGCACACCGCCATGGCACACCGCACCGATCGCACGGATTCTTGGCACAAGGGCGCCCAGCCAAAGGCTAGAGCTCACAAAGGAGTTCCTCGCTGCAGGAGACGGAGACGGTTTCAAGAGCCCTTGAAAGCTTTGAAGGTTCTAAGAGCAGTGCAAGTTCATCTGGAGAATTTTGTTGTAAAAAGTGGTTCTAAGGTGACAACTGAAAGCATTGACGGCTAGCAGCTAGCAGCCTTACCGAAGAACAGCTGTGAGGCCTTTGAAGTGTCCTGCTGCGAGGTCGTTTCACCCTCAAATCGTGAGTTCCTGTTGCCATGACCGGAGACTAATGAGACAGAAGAGACAAGGCAGCGACTAGCAGCTGACAACGTATCCTGTAAGCATTTTTGTGACTCTTTCACGGTTTCGGAGATGTCAGAAACAAACAAATAAAAGAACTCAAAGAAATAAAGTATTTTTCCACCCTTCTTCCAGTTCACTGCCTTGGCAGGGTTCGCAGAGTGTGTGCCAAATTCTCGTGGCGATGGCGGCTCAGTCCCTGCAAGCTCGCTATGGGAAGATTGGTCATTCCACCACGCGCGCGGCCCCGCCAGCACCCAGGCGCGAAGCAGGGCTATGGTGGCAGGGAAGCCGGTCATGATGCACTCCGATGTGGGAACAGCTGCGTGTGCTGTAATGAATTTACTTGGAAGAGAATCTTTGGCCGGGTGGCTCGAAAGGAGTTGACTTGGGATGAACATGCGCAGTAGAGAACCATAGCTTCTGGGAAGACCTGCCTAAAATTTGAGCCAGACGTGGCTGTTGCACGCGCGGCGTTGCCCATGTCAGACATGGCCATGGTAGCCCTGGGTTGGTGCGGAGGTTTACGATGCTTTGCCAAAACTACGGACCTGATTTTTGCAAAGGCACGTGTATAAAGCATCCATGGTTTTGGACTCTGTACGATTCACAAACATGAGCATTTGGAGCACAACATTTGTCACCGGTCTTTTCGTCTTTGCTTCACAGACGTCGCAGTCGTCTTTGCTTCACACGTCGCACTTCCTGAATTACAGAAGGGACAGATGTCTCAGTTTTTTGAGCGCCAGGCCTCCAGCATCCAGGAGCAGGGAAGATGGTGTTTGGTGCAAATCTTTTTTGGTGCAAACCTTCACCTTTGTGGATCTTGTTTTGTAGGAGTTGTTTCCTTTGTGGTTCTGCTTCTTGAGGCACCACCCAATTGAACTCCCGAAATTGGGGGAATCCACACATCACCACTGACCCAAGTAATGTATCCATAAACACGTGCGATTGCTTGAAATGAAGCTCAAGCTGTTTTGGTGTGTGAAATAGCTGCAAATTTAAGCATAGGGATGATACCGTTTGCTTAGGAGCTCTATGTTTTGGGGGTTGAGCTTTGCTGCTGGATCCATTAGCTTCCATTTTAGTGTGCCAAAGCCAAAAACGGAAACATACAGATATTACTGGGACTCCGCGGACTCTACACAATCCCATAGACCATTAATGAACGTGTGTTCTCTTTGGCTTGACAGAAAGTACGCTCCAATTCCCTCAAAGGGTCACCATCAGCTCAACGTCCCTCTTGTAGAGGGCGTGGGGCAACAGAAATGAGATTCCTGCCAACTTCTTCACGCTGAAGTTTGCACAGCACCCTTTATATCGGCAATGTAAGTCATCCATTTGCACAAGTGGTGTCAATGTGCCTTTGACAATTGTTCAGAATTGAAGATTCAACATTCTTGAGCCATAAATTGGTTAGGAAGGTTGGTTTAGTGGGAGTTGGATGGTCTCAAAGTTAACCCTCTCCAAGAACACATTGATTCTGCAGAAGAGATAGATATGAAAGAGTAACGAAAGAGCACAGGTTATTTGCCTGCCGTGGGATTCAAAACCGTTGACAATAGTTACTGTAGGTGAGGTGTACAAAAGATGTCGACTGGTCGTGTTCATTTTGGGGCGATTTTGACGAACTGCTACCTCAAGAAGACCATTTTTTGGAGGCCTACCAGGAGTTCTAATGGGATGGTTCTTGGATCCAAAGGTACGGCCCTAGTAGCCAGCGGTTCCCAGCTGTTCTGCAGAGCAGGACTCCTGCCAACCGGTCTTTGTTGTTCGCGAGGACCATTCAGCAGATCCCGAGCTTCGCGGAGTTCTACGACATGGGAAAGGAGGTCATGCCGTCCACCCACAGGTACATGAAGGCAAGAGACGGAAAAACGAGGGACGGATTTGCTTGTGGATGGATCGAGCAGAGATATGAAGATTGGCCCAGCTAGGCTCAGCTATGGGCAATAAACATTTGGCCCAGCTAGGCTTTGGTGCTTGAGGGTCGCAAAGGTGTGCCAAGCATCTGAGCAAGAATGTTATTCAATTAGAGGTATCGGTATCGGATTAGTAGACACCGTCAGCACCAACCCATCATTTATCTTTTGTGGGCGGGGGCAATCTGCTCAGCAAGGACCTGGTCAGCGATACACAGGCGTTTGCACTCATTGATAGACTTGTTGGAACCAGTTCATTCCAAAGTTCCATAAATACAAAGTGTCGTATGAATTGCGGAAGATGTCGATGTTTGTTTCGAAACGTGTCAAGCCCTCGCACAACACAAAGTGCATGGAGGCGCCTGTGCAGAAGCTATCTACGCCTTATCCTATGTCTCAAACCACTGTGACAAATGGTCCTGTGCATGTCTTCAGTGACTGCGAATGTCACTTTTGCCGTGGGGCTAACTACTAGTGCTTATCACCAAGTCGATCCCACCTCCAACTGCTACAGCTGACAAAATGAGATCTTCACAGACAGTATGATTTTAACATATTTTATCAAACCGGTGTCTCCCCACACGGCACATGCTGAAAGGCCTTTGATTTTTGACTACCTCTTTTTGATCATACCTTTTATACAAGCCTTAACCAATTTGCAGTTTCACTTGCGATCCGATTTCCTGTTGCATCATTTGCCAGGTGAACTTTGCTACCCGGAAGTCTGACAAGCAAGAGGCTGGAAGGGTTGGAGTTTGACTCGAGAAGGTCCAAACTGGTCCAGGCGCCTTGCTGGACTTAGATCTTTCATCAAGGTTCTTAGATCATGGATCTCGCTTTTCAGGTATGTGACATGTGTCCCTGCACAGCCTGCTGACAGCACGGATTTGAGTTTCGTGGGAATGAGGGTGGATCATGGATGACCCTGAAAATGAGCGACAGAAAAGTGTGGGAAGCTGAGATACTCCTTTAGTGTGCCTTCCCGTTAGGGCAGGGCAGAGCAGGGGTGTTGGTGCTCCAGAATTTTGCAGGGTTGAAAAGTGGGAACAACTTAGATGTTCCTTTCAGGCTCCATGTGTCATGCAGATGTTGCCGTTGTCATGCGGTGCTCTGTGGATCATCCTTTCACAAAGTTTTGTGTGATCCAAAAGGCTCTGCACACAGAATCATGTTTTTCCTCCCTTCTTGTGCCTTGAAGGAATCCAACCACCAGGAAATGGTGCTGGTTCCGGATTCCCTGGTCCCAGCTCATTCCAGATGCTTCACCTTTGCTGACCTGGCTCAAGTTTTGGCTAGCTCTCCAGCGCAAGCGTTCATCCGTGCCGTGCGGCGTTGCTGCAGGTGGTGGTGAAGGTCCGCTTTAAGCCCAGCTGCTTCCGTAGCCGTCAGGCCCGGAGATGATCTTGGTGGAGCAGCGGTCCACGTGGTTGGGGGATACGTTGAAAGATGAGCACAGAACTGAAATTGATCTTAGACAAGGGTAAAACCATCAAAAATAGATTGCTGTTTTGTGTGTTCACAAACATGTTGTTGAGTAACATCCTGGAAAGAAACACCCAGTTTGCCCCTCTTTGCCATGAGTCGTTTCACACGTCGCAGGATGAGAAGAACTGGCGTCAAAATACCGAGTCGAAAGCTTGGCACTTCTTGGCTTAAGGATTTGGGAGACTCACCATTTGCAAATCAGAGGTACCAAAGAGGAACGGTTGGGGATGATTTATCGAAGAAATTTGCGTAAAGCAATGGAAATTTGTTTGGATGTAGTATTAATTTGCTGATCTGGCATGGAGCTTGCTGATCTGAGGTTTTTGCTGAACCTGCCAGACAGTATCGGCGTTGCAAGAATCTACGAGGTGATGGAGGACTGTTCCAAGAAACGACTTCAGCCCTGGAGGGAGTCGAAGGCAGTGAAAGAGTTGCGCTTGACAAAATAGACTAAAAGTTATACCAGCCCTCAAACAGACAGGCCATACTTCTTTGTTGTAGCAGAACCAACTTCCAAACCCCTTTGTGGTTTGCTGCTTGACTTTGGAGAGAACCGAGTGACTTGGAGTTGGGTTGCATGGGGGTTGAGATCCTGGGGTTCGGTGTTAGCTGCTAGCTAGAGGATGCCATCGCCTTCCCACAATTCTGACAGGAAGAACGCGTGGAATTGTCGAAGATACTTTTGCACTTCCATGGACTTTCGAAACTGGTCATCAAGATCAAAAGCACACACCTGCTACCTGTCTCAGAGAGAAACTGGAAAGTAAGCAGCTAGGTTACGACAAGAGGATCAGGGCTGTAGCGTTATGCACCGATGGGTCCAGGATCCAACGGCCTTCTACATCGTGATGGAGAAGGCGGGAAAGGACGGTATTCTTGGTGCAACCGCATACATTCAATCCAAAGACAACAGGAGAGATCGGCAGGAATCCAAATCTCCTGGCCAAATCCTCGAATCCATTTCGGCACCAAGTTGCTGCGAGTCCTTCAGGTCCCTGCAGGATTTGCTGTCGTTGCTTCCCAGAACGGCAAATGGTCTGCCAGGTCGATGGCCTGGATCTCTTCGAGACTTTGGAACACATGCGGAAGATCCCGGCAGGAAAACCTAGACCTCCCAACCCACAGGAGAAGCCGTTGGTGTCCTCGGGGTCGCTGGTGACACGACTTGTAGCAAGCCTGGGCGATGATTGGTTCAGCCTTTTTTTTTGCATGTGTTGCATTTGTATGCATTTGGTATCATTTGGTGTATCTATTCCATTTGTCCAAAAGCGCCAGAAAACAACTGTCAGAAAACCGTGCACCCTTTGGGTTGGCAATCCCTCAATCCTTTTTCAAAGTGCCTAGCGTGTGGCAACCCAAGCCATCCGGGTGTTGTTCTCGTTTTCAACCAAACACAGCTGAGGTGGCGACCACCCGGGAGATCATGCGTCACCTTTTAGAGCCGCCCCAGCATGATTCTGGGGTCGTTGAATGGATGACTTTTTGATTGCTTCAAGTTCCTTGAGAGATCCAGACTTGTGAAAGAAGGAAAGACTTTAATGTTTTTAGACATATATATGTAATATGCACGACTGGAGTTTAGGTTTAGACATATCATGTTTTGAATTGCAGGTTCACGTGAAAATGTCGGTTCCGACCGACCTGAGCACGCGCAGGTCCTTAGTCTTCTTGCATGCACATTGTGCAGTCCACAAGGCAGGCATTTTCCTCGGCTTTGGCGCGTAATCTGTTTGCAAAGAGTTCTTTCATCCACACCACTCCTGCAACGTAATTCTGGATGCTTCGCACGTGCCACGTTGCCACAGGATTTGAAGCTTGAGAATGTCATGGTGGATTGCGGAGATGCATTGAGCGGAAAGTCGAAATCACTGTTGCGATCCAAGCAAGTCTATGCAAGAACAATCGTTGATATAGGAAGAGATTTTGGAAATTTTGTTGGTCTATGAACATCCACAAAATTAGACTTGTGTGCTACTAAAGGTTTGTTTTGAGCTTGCACCAACAGCATCATCAGCAACGTCATCAATGTCAGTCGATCCTTCGTCTCTGTTTTTGCTAACGTGGTGAAAAGTCTTCGTTCTCGACGAGAACTTCTCAGGTCAGGTTCACACCTTCAAGCCGTGAAGGTCCGAAGCTCAACTGCTTCCCATGCTCCTCATGCTCCTTTGTACGCGGCATACAGGAGTCTGCGGAACGGCTTAGCGAATGTTTGTTTGGCCTTGCCTAGTTGTTTGAGGTTGGCGGGTCTTTCTATAGTTCTACATGGTATGCCTGAACCGGAGTTTCATGACCTTGGCATAGGTTTCAACATGTTTCAACCCCAGATTTCGTGTTTCAAGAAACGACCCGCAGAGCTCCCCACACCGCTTCTGCATAGCCGCCCTTATGTGGGCAAAGCTGGGTGGGCGAGTAAAATCAAAAACCAATCGCAAAATGCCTCGCTGCCTCCAATTTCCAGGAAGAAAGGTAGAAAGGCAATCCTCAGCTGGAAAGGGCATTGCTCACGAAGAACTACAATTGCCAAGCCCGAACATTGCTGTGCGTTTCCATGGAGCCTGGGAATTTGTTCTATGTCGTGGTGGAGGTAGGTGTGAAATGGGGCAGTACCCACTCAATGAAGGCTCAAACTGGACGCCACAGATAAAGCCATGCTTTCCGACACCAAAACCCCCAGACAGAACATTCCGACGGTTTGCTTGCGGGATCAAACGTGGAATCGGACGTTCCGACCGAAGGTGATTGACTTCGACACCTTGGAATCATGGACACCGTCAGGTTCCACGGCAAAGGCTTGGGGCGTGGTAGCATCCCTTCTCTCGGTCGCTGGTATGGAATTGGCATAAGTGAAGCAGTCTTTTATTTGACATAGGCAATAATGGAAGTGGGTGGCCGGAAATCAGATGACATAATTTGTGTCCACATAAACTGTCGTGCTTACCAATGTTGACAATAACTTTCAAGCTCTTCTCAGGGTCAGATTCATCTCTCTTTCTTGAGAGGCATCCAAGTTTTCTGTTGGAAAAAGTTCTTCAAGTTTTCTGGCATCATGTTCGAGTTTGGTTAAAAAGGTTTGCGAAGGTGAGTCAATGTGTAACCTTTGGGCCTACCCAAATTCTTCATTTGGAGCCATAGATGGTGAAGGACACACATCAAGCTCTCGCCGTGGCAGCAAGTCCGTGAGTTGTTGCGGCAGGACGTGGTTGGCACCGATCAATACATAGCGCAGGCCAGAAGCCCAGCCTTTCCAGTAGCCGTTCGAGCCCAGTAGGCGTTCGAGCACTGTCGTACCGCAATCGAACTTGCTCCAGCAGGCTTGAGCAACTGTAATGATGGGCGAACTGATTGGTCCTGATACGAAGATTACAGGTGAGACAGAACACAGTGTATGATTATTGGAATGTCTCGGTGCAGTCCATGTCAAGTCAACAAAATGATGGACGGATTGAAAAGAGCGACCCACATCTCATGATGCTTTGAGGAAGCCTATGCGGGCAAGTGCGCCAAATATCAGCTGAGTTGCCTTCTGGCTCTTGGAAGATCCTGCAAGATTGTGTGTTCTTCGGTTCGTTAGTAGCGTCCTTGTTCCTAGTAGTAAGGCACTTGTTACTACTAGTAAGGCACTTGTTACTAGTAGCGATGCACTTGTTCCTGCAGGTATTCACCTCTCTCCGACATTTTTGCGTGTGGGGTGATTCTGTACAGACTTCTAACAGGACTGTTCAAGGGTGTTCTCGTGAAAGTGTGTTTTCTTGGCCCTACGTGATCTCATATTTGATTCAACTTGATAGACTGCTTCCAATTCAGTGTGCAAACTGCAAAAGCCACAGGAAAATTTCCGTTTCACGATGACATGTTCGACGATGAGGCGGGGATCCTGTACGACGTTTCCTGTCCTGCGGTTCGTTTGGACCTTCGGTGACCGGTCCCGGTCGTCAGGCTGGCGAGAATTGGGTGGGCTCTCCCAAGATGGCCCAGATTCGGCGAAGGCTGAAGGTGGCCAAGGCCCGGGGGTCGTGGGCATTGGGCGCTGGAGTCCTTGGAAAGGACTAGGCTGTAGTCTAGTAGTCGGCACCCGGTACCGATGGCTCACTTTTCCATTGGGAAGATCAAATTGAAAAAGATGAGAATTCAGCAGTCTCCATTTTTGCAAGATTGCCAGAGCCTTTGCTGTGATATGAAGGTGTTTTTGATTGAGAGAGCCTCCGATATGTGCATGCTGCGTCCTCCTATTGAGGGTCAGTCAGTCATCTAAAATCTTCAGCTCACAAGCCCCTTGTGAGTCCTTGCAAACTCAAAGATAAAGGATTCCGTGAATGTGAAATGCCTTTGCAAATTCATAGAAATTACTATATCATTGCATTATTTGCATTGTTTTGGGAGGGTGGTTCAGCAATTCGAGAATTAGTTCATCCAAAAAAGTGTTTCTTTGACTGCCTAGTCTCAGCCGTGTCGAAGTAAACCAAGGCTCACCTCACTAGGGCCTTTCCTTTGACTGCATAGCACTCATAGCATCTCGTAGCTCCCTTGTGACGCTCAGGTGGACTTCTCCAAGGAAGTCTTCCAGGAGCATGCCGACGCCTGCGATCTCGCCACGAGCTCAGAGCTCCGGCAAAGCCCCGGCAGAGTGCTGAACGCTGTAGACAACTCCTTCATCGCCGAGGTCATGAGAATGCTGGCGTCCGGGAGTCTCAGAACTCGCCGTCCAGGGTCTTTGGATGTCTTTGGGAGTGAGCAAAAATGACAAATCAGATTGACTATATAGAGTGCAAAACAGCTTACCGCCTCCTTTGCCAGGGTTGGCTAGAATTGTTCCTTTGTGCAGCGGGTTGTGTTAAATGTGACTTGGTGGGGATCCGCACACATCGTATGCTAGTGCAGGTTACTTGGGAAAAGCTAGGACATCTCGCCCGTCGATTGTGAACAGTTGGAAGGACGCGGCCGCGACATGAGGTACCAAGAGAACCAGAGACCAACAGCTGCAGCTGCACTGGAACATCCCTGGTTTCAGGCAGGTTCGTGAGTGACTTACCTGGAGCAGATTTGCTTTCAAAGTTTAATGACCAGGTAATTTGAGTTGTTCAAAACGTTCTCATCCACTAAGTTACTTTGAAACTGCTAGCTCCCATCGTATCCAATCTCAGCTAAAGGGAGCATTGATTCATTGATGGCTACGTATCCAGCTTTTGTAACCCACATTCAGCTCCACCGAGTGACTCACATCGCCAGGATTCCAAAGCTGCTCCGCAAGTCGTTCCTGACATCCAGGCAATTCGTGGAACATGTGTTTCTTTGTGGTCGGATGTTCGCTCCGTGATCACATACAAGAGCTACTCTGTTTGCTGCCACAGGAACTGATTGATGATGGAATTCTAGAAGAATATTGTTCAATAGAAACAGCAGCTTAGGAACAGGGTAGCTCAATTTCTAAGCTGTTGTTTCTATTGAACAATCTGCTGCAGCGACAGGAGCTGATTGATGATGGAATTGTGGTCGGCGAGGCTGGATGTTGGTTTGCTGATGTAAACTAGAATGTAACTAGAAGCTTATCAGAGCTCTCAGTGTGCAGGTCTCACAAACGTTTCCCAAAGTCCCTTTTGGATGATCCTGAGAGCATCATCACAACCAGTCGTTTCGTGGCCCCGGAGGCACATTGAGGCATCCCGGTCCTAAGCCTATTCAGATGGGCTACATCATCGCAGCAATCGAAATTAACTATGAAAAAAGAGCGGACGTGTGAAAGCCGCGATGTATCAACACTCCTGCCTCGATGCAAAGAACTGAACTATGGATGGGTCAAAACCTATTGACTTTCAAGGTCCAATATGGATATCCAGCAGTGCATGGGAAGTTCAACCTATTTCCGGAGTCGACGCACAATGAAAGGCGGCCAAAAGTGGCCGCCGAACCTTTTGCGAGTCGTTGTGTTTTCTTATCTTACAATGTTCATTCAGCACTTGTTCTTCTCGCGTTCAACAGCACAGCGGCCTGGAGGAAAGGACGGCAAGTATTGTGGGTAACTGTTCAATCATACAACAGAAATATAACAACTGGTGACCGTTCATTCTTGTGCCCTGGTGAGAGGGTTCTTTTTGATGTGAACATTTCCAACATATGGTCTATCCTACGTTGCCACATGTTGCCACCATTTTCAGACTGGACACGCTTCATGGTTAGAGCCGATAGGAATGACCAACCCACTGCCTAATTGTTTGCACAGAACAGCCCTTAGGAAAGCAATAAGTTTCCGTATAAACTGCAAGGGTGTTGAAGAAAGATGGACATCATCTACAATATGGTTGAAGGGAACGATTGATGGCGTTTTTCAATGACCTAATTAAGATGGTGTCGTTCCGCCCGCTGCTTGCTACAGCTTTCAGTACTGCCAAAGGAACGCCAAAGTATGGAAATTAAGAGATTGGCAGACAAAATTGAGTTGGTGTTTTGCATTGTTCCTTCAGCAACATAATATGTGTGGACCGCGTTGCTAGATCTGAGTTGTCTTTCAGCAATAGCTACAGAAGGGAATAGGGCTCATTGTTTCGATGAGTGTCCTCTTGACGGCCTATTGAGCACACGTGGAAGAGTTCCCAAAAACATGCATCAATGCGCACAACTCATAAGGAGTTCAGAACATTTATGAGTACATTGGTGATAAAAATTTTCTGCCAGAGACACGAAAAGGTTTCACTTTTCAGTTTGGTGATGCTTTGATCTGTGGGTTTTCTTGAGTGGTGAGGGTCTCAAAAAAAGAAACGATGAGGAGTGTGCCTCCCCTGTGAATATTGCCCATACTGAAGTAAGTGATTTGGGGGCCCTTGGGTTCCCTCATTTAGATCCACCTTTGTGATCATGGCGACCGTGACGCCACGTCATCACCGCGTGCTGGCAGCTTTCAGCCTACTCGGCCTGGCAGCGCTGAATGGACCGCAGGTGACATGCTCGACAGGAAATAGAGAATGCCCTTTGTTACTAGTAGCGTCCTTGCTCCAGTAGCGATGCCCCTTGTTACTGGTAGCTTCTTTTTACTAGAGTCTCCCTCCACACTGGTCGATTCCGAGGTTCACAGGGCGAAACGAGTTATCCTTGTTTCAGTGAGGCCTTCGCCCTCTAGAACTGGTTTCACAGTAATCATCGACCCCAGAAATAGAAGATCGCAATGAACAGAATAGTTTGAAGTTCTATCATTCTATCATCATTCTATCTTGGACATTATCACGAATCCGATGGCCTAGGTATGCCTTTAAATTGCATGGGTCTTCTCCTTCCACAGAGCAAGACATGTGACCAAATCAACGTTCTCATACCTCATTTGCGCCTGAACTCTCTACCCAGAAGCACTTGCCCACCCAGAGCCTGTCCTTGTGGCGAGAGCCCTGCTGCATTGTCACTAGCACATGGATTGCAAATCCCAACATTTGAATACGTCTCTAGAAACCAGTGCTATCGAACAGTTGACGTTTGCACAAGGCGTTTTGCGGCCCTCTTCAGGTCTTCCAAGGACGGTTCTGCTTTGGAAGGGCACGGTGGGAAAGGTGTTGAGCCTCGCCGAAAGTCTAGAAACCCTGAGACGAAAAAGATTGTTTTTGAAGGCTCCTGGCTCATGAGGTACGCGATTCCTTTCTACTACAAGAAAAAATAAGGCTTCTTTAGGCAAGCCTATTTGTTTTTGATGGTAGTGTCGAACTTCATCGAACCATGTCACAGTACCGTTCAGTAACGGTGTGGCTCGTGGATCATGTTGGAAAGGCAGGCATACAGGGCCAGGTATCCCCGCATTTCATCGTGAAAGGCCAGAGTCCGTTCACATTTGTTCACTACAGAATCCAATAAACAGACGGGCGCTGTTGTTTTTGGGGAGAAGGCGGTGATTCTTGAGTGTCTAGTTTGCAGCATCAGGATGCCGCTCAAATCCGACAGAGTTCAAAATCAGAAGAATCCAGTGCCACTCGTCTTTGAAACAGCTGAATAGCTGAATCAGATCAAATGCTCAATAGCTGAAGCAACCGAACATGCTGCACTGAAAGCCTGTGAGGTTTTGGCGCACCATTTTTGCTGGGCTTTAAGCATCACAATCTTGCATTTGGCGTGATCAAGAAAGTTTTGGCTTACCAACGCTGCCTGCTAATCGCCAAGAACTGCTGCTGTGTGTGCTTTTTGGGGGGTGCAGCTCGGGCCTGCTGAATACGTTGCACCTCACGTGCTAAGGTCGCGTATTGAGCTGGCCCGAGCTCGAGGCGCTCAGAGGGTCAATCTCGAAACATTGAGAGCTAACAGATGCTAACAGCTAGATATACATATATATATACCTTTTGAAATAGAATCAAAAAAAGAATTATGTTTCCCATGTATGGACTGGAGCATCTAAGTATTTGTCTCAACGCCTTTTTCGCCAGTGCGTCCACACCGACACCCAAATCACTCCAGCCTTGGACTCTCAGTCTAGAGCAAAAGCCGAAGTTGATCAGTGTGAATGGCCCAAACAATCCAGTTCTGGATGACAATACCTGTTGTCAATCCAGGGCCCTCCGGAAACAGATTGTCAATGAGATTGTCAAGCATAAAGCGGCGAGATGATTCGAAGAGATGTTTGTCCACTTTTGCCGATTCAGGGCCAGCAAAACATAGTAACCAAATGCGACCAATGAGATCCAATGAGTAGGAGACAATCATTTTCCAACCTTGCGGGCTGCTTCCGTGAGGCGCGTTTGCCATGTAGCCAAGTCCCGGAGCCGCAGATCATTGACTCGGTGCTGCAGCCGAAGAAGCCAGAGTTGAAAGGCGGATCGCGCGCGCGAGGAAAAGAACGCAAGAATCGCTGTGGGGGCCTCTCCACGCCGTCGTGCAAAAAGGGGAACTGGGACGACTTGAACGGCTGGGGTCGTGCTGTTTGAAAGAAGAAGTACAATGGAAGGTGAGTTGGGGAAAAGGGTGACTGTTTGGTTCACGTTAGGCGCTGTCCTTGGTGATTGTTTCACAAGTGGTGTACGTTTGCAAGACCTTTCGAGTGGGCAGTCTGCCACTCGGGGTTGCTGTAGCTAAGCCTTCCAAGGTGCCCACTTGTCGACAGGGCTGGTTCAACCTGGGCTGACTGCTCATGCTCTTCAGGAGGCTCGTGCCTTGCATCAAGAACCCTTGACATCCATGGAGAAATCCTTTGTTTGGGTCCTCGCCTGTTTCGATTTTCCTTGTGAGGCCTCGTGCTCTTTCGTGAGAGGAATGGTTGGTGCCCTTATTCTGAGCGCGTATGGCTGGCTTTGGAGGCGTGGACAGGGTAGTCTTTGCAGAGCCAATGCCATCTTTCAAGGTTGTGCACAGACACATTCGCAGATGTTTCTTGTATTCGAGTCATTCGCATCAGTGGAACTTTCAACACATCGGAAGGCCAAAGGCTTGGATTACACCACAGTGTTGGTGGACAACTATGGCTCACGAGCAGCCTGGATCGGTGGACAAACGCCCCAGCTGCAGTGGCCATCAGGAAAACGGCAGGGAGAGTCATTAGACATCATCAAGGCCTTAGACACCTGGCAGACCACGACAAATCGATCGTGCCTGTCACAAGTGGTTAATCAGGCATAAAGGACTTCCGTGGTTGGTCATGTGCACCCATCGTTTGCCAAACTACGTACGCCAGTGCATCGGTTCAAGTGCCTGCATGCGAACCCCTTGCGCTTGTGTGGCCTCAGGTCGCGCGCAACAAGCGAACCGGATGGGTTTGAGGGGCCACCCAGTTCGTTGGGCATGTGCTGTCAAATCAGAACTGAAAACAGCCACCGAAACCATCGCCGGAAAGTCTGGATTGGCTAGACTGGAAGGCGTGTATATCGCTATAGTCTGCCGCGATGGTTAGGTTTTCCGGTCAAGGGGAAGTGGTATGGACCACGATTCTGCTTCAATCTCTTGAAATCTCTTGAATAGGTATTGTCCCAGAAAATGTCATAGCTGAGGTTTGTTGAGACCCTCTAAGAGAATGGGGAGAGATCCCTCATGCGGCCATGCAATAGCTTCGAAATTACTGGCACTGTAGATTTTTGGTGAAAGTTCATAGTCTTGGTGTGGTGGGGATCTTCAAAAATGCTGTGCAAGTTCAAGCGGCCTGGCAGGGGGCGAACTTTGAGCAGAGCCATTTAGATCCGGGTTTGGTTGAGTAGATAAATCCACATGGCACTCCGACAACACCCATTGCAATGGATAGTTGTGCAAGCTCAGGACGTTGAATTTCCTGACATGCCGAAGCTGTGGCCGAATTCCGCAGTCACCGAGCTGGTCAATGCCTTTCGGTCAACTTTTCCAAAGCAGACCAGGCAAGAATGCTAGTGTTCTAAGGATGTGATACAGCAACAAATGCCGAAATATATATATATACATATATATTGTTAATCTTTCCCTGAGATAGTGGGTTTGAACAACCAAGGAGCCGTTGCGAGACCGTCCGATCCAAACTAGCGAGCTTGACACAGCTTAAAGTTTTATTTTCTCATGAAAAACGGTCTCGCCTATCCATGGAAACGTTGTTCTCCGATGTGCATTCGTTCCCGTCCAATAGTCCCTCTCTCCTGTACCCCCCTGACGGAAAGTGTCCCGGTAGGCCTCAAGCTTTTTCAACTCTATAGGACAGTCCATTGACCCCACAGGAGTAAACAACTGAAACCTTGGAACTACATGCACTCGGATTATCTTTCCATGGTCTCCTCTTTGCCAAAAATCGCTTTCATGCTTGTACTTGCCGGATTCATTCATCATCATGGCTATTTCATCTTTCGGTGGATCATTCTCAGGTCGGTGCTGTTTCACCCACTTGAGTCGTTCCCTGGCACTCAACCTCTCCTTCAACAAAAAGGTCTCATCTCTCAAGGCGTATTGACCAGTACGCAAACACTCTCAACACACTGCTGTCCATGGTTTTCGTGAGACAGTCTGCTAACATGGCCTGGGAACTAACCCATCGTACCACAGCGTTGTTCCGGAGCCTCTCTCTTATGAGTAAGCACTCGATCGTCGTTCGGTGTTCGGAGCATTGTGGAATGGCAGTACGCTAATTTGCAGTCTGTTACCAAAGCACCAGAATTTTCCTCAGCTAGTGGCCTCTCAGGCTCTTTCCAATTGCAATCTGGATTCAGAAGTGTGGCCCATAGCACTCTCAACCACAAATGACGATCTGCGGAATTGCTCAGTGCTGCGGCTTCGGCTCCTAAAGTACTTCGCACGACCCTTGGGATCTTTTTTGAGTACCAAGCCACTGGAGCAACAACAGCCTTCTGGTTTTCCAACATCTCTGGTGTCGTAACAAAAATTATTGTTCCCTGGTGAGCAGTGGTATGCTTGGCACATGAAAATGAGGCATCAGAGAACGCACAGTAGGTCACGTGTTTTGGATTGATTGGCAGCACCATCAAGGACACTCTGTGCTGCTTTGCCTCAGCAAGAACCCTATTCCCCAAAATCAAATGCTTCACACGAGCTCTTGTGACCTCACTTTGCAATTCCCCAATTTTAGCTGCTAAATCTGGTCGACTGTGAACAGCTGCGTACTGGAGTGCTCCATTAAGACTTCTGAAACTGGTTCTTCCATCTTCGGTCACCAGGGATTCCGGGTCGTCACGTCTCCCCTTCCCTAGAGAAATTGGTGGAATCTTCTCAACATACCCGATCTGGTCGTACTCAATTGAAAAGTCGTCCCACTGTTTGAAACGGATCCCCGTATATGTAAAGTCCCCAGTCTCAAAAGCTCCAAACTTAAATCGAGCCTCCACTTTCTTCAACATGGTCATGAACTTGGGACTTCCACCACCAATCCCGTCATCTACATGAATACCCAAACACCCTTCCAGAACACCGCCAACATGGTATGTGAAAACACAGGGATCTAGTGGTGATTGTTTGCATCCCTGTTGGAGGAGTTCATCCCGAAATTCACAAAACCACAAATGCATCGATTCGACCATAGGCTCCACCATCCAGTTGAACTTGGTCTGTCTCCTCCATTCCTAATGCATCGCGCATCTCAGCATCTCAGGAGTTGGGATGATTCCAAGAGGTCTGCCATCCTCTTTTCCGTGGAGGAATGCATTAGATATATCAAATGAAATCAACGGCCACTGGTGGCTTCCAACATCTTGTAACACAACCATACGGCCATCCCCCTTTGAAAGGGTTGGAACATCATTCACTACCTCGTCTATGTTTGGATCTTCATACCCAATGACAATCAGACGGGCCTTAGCCTTCTTGCCATCTTTGGAAAGCTCTGATGGATCTTCATTCCCATTGGGACTTTTCCAAACAAAAAGCCACCTGCGGCGCATTATGGCGTGTTCCGGAATCTTGCCTTGTGCAACTTTCCGTATCGTTCTGTGCTGCAACCACGCCTTTAGTTCTTTATGTTTGGCAATCGCGAACAGCTTCTGATCATCCTGGGACAACTCCTTCAATCTCACTTCAGTCCTCTTCTTTCGTTCATTCACGGCTGCCAAAACATACCCATCGGGCGTTGCAAACTGTTCTTGATCAAAATCACATAAAGGGGTGATGTCAATTTCCCAGTTCTGGCAGAAGTGGTCCTGAAAATAGATCGTGTCACCAAAGAATCCATCATCAGGGACCGGAACATCAACACCATCTGTGGGAACATTTTCACCGGTGCCCATTGAACCAATGGTCGGAGCAGTGGCTTCTTCTTCAGGTTCGGGCATTGAATTGTCCTCATGAACCTCGAATTCTCCAGGCAGAATGCTAGGACCTGCTAAGAGTATATTCATTTTCGCTCGGTTCTGGAAGATCTTCGGGGTCCAAGTCAAAAAAATCTTGGTGACCAATCTTTCTAGCCCACTCTCTTGTTGGAACTTTGAATTCTTCTGTATCCCGAACTGCCTTCCATTCCCGCATCGAGGCCGCTCGCAACTGTTGAGGGCTGGCGCGAACCAACCGGTGAGCATGGACCAACCAAACTACCCGTTTGCTCTCAACCAGCACAACCCGCGCCGGTCCAAACCATTGTCCCCTTTCTCTTCTCATGTTACCTCCTTTCCTACGCCAATACAAAACCAAGTCCCCAACCTCAAAATTTGCTCTCATAGGGCGGCTTCTACGTAGCATAATCCTTCTCAAGCTGTTGGAATTGTCCATTGAAACAAATGCTTTCCTAGCCGTTTCTCGGAGGTCCAGGGTTTCCTTGAAAGTCACATTCCCTTCATCAACTAGTTTTGCATGGCTATTGGCATCTTCATCGGAAATCACTGACCCAGGTAAACGAGAGGATATTCCCAGTACTGCTTGTTCAGGTGAGTATCCAGACTTCCTTGTCAAAGTATTTTTCGCGTGGCAAGCTTGGATGAGGGCTTTCCTGAAGGTTTCGGCATTGTTGATTGGACGTTCTACATCCGTCCTAGTTAACATCCCCTTCAAAATGGCGCCATGAGCTTTTACCCTACCCAGTTGCCAGTGCGAGTCTCTCGCAGAGACCTTCAAATCTATTCCCAGTTCTTGTGTTCGGGTCAACCAGTATTCACTAAGGTACCCCTTTGCAGGATCTACATACAGTACCCTTGGATATCCTGCCCACCCAAAACAATGATCTTCAAGAAAGTTCCATTGATTCTGAGAATCTGTTCCCCCAGGCCTTGCAACATGAAACAACGTCCCCTCATCAATCACGTGAGTAAACTCAAACGTTGTTCCATGAGAATTTGTCCACACTAATCCCCTCTCCCTAATAATAAACGGCCCCCCCCCCATTAATAAAAACCCTGGGGTGTTTTTACTAATAGGGGGTGTTTATTATTGAGGGGCACCTGTTGTACCCCCAAATGGGCAATGTTCTGTTCGCCCTAATAAAAAAAGTAGGGTCTCGAAAGAAAATCCCTGGGTTCCCAATCTAATTAATTATATAAAATCCTTGTAAAACCGACCATCAAAAAAACAACAAAGGGTCAAATCGAAGGTCTTCCCCCTCTTGTTGGTTTCCTAGACCAACTGTTGATGCACCCAATGAATGAAAACACATCACTGCAAAGAGCAATGGATAGCGCAATCAGGAAAGCAAAATTAATTAGGAACATTGGCACAGACTCCTGCTTAGTATTAGGGGGCCACAAAACAGCAAGAATGGATCTTGGAAAGGAGGCAACATGGAAAAGGCATGGGTTCCAAATCTATATAAAATCCTTTATAAAACGACCATCAAAAAAGCTAAAAGGGTCAAATCGAAGGTCTTCTTCCTGTTGTTGGTTTCCTAGACCAACTGTTGATGCACCCAATTAATGAAAACACATCGCTGCAAAGAGCAATGGATAGCGCAATCAGGAAAGCAAAATTAATTAGGAGCATTGGCACAGACTCCTGCTTAGTATTAGGGGGCCACAAAACAGCAAGAATGGATCTTGGAAAGGAGACAACATGGAAAAGGCATGGGTTCCAAACTATATTAAATCCTTTTTAAAACCACCATCAAAAAAGCCAAAAAGGGTCAAATCTAAGGTCTTCCCCCTCCGGTAGTTTCGCGGGAGAACCAGGGTCTCGCGGTCTCGCCGAAGAGAGAGAGGGAGAGAGGTATTTTTGGGGGAGGATTGGAGATGTTTTTAATATTAGGGGGAATTCGGGTTATTTTTGCTGTCCCCCTAATACACCTAAAATCTGGGGCACCCCCGACTGTGGACCCACGAGTATTGAATTTCAAAGGGAGCAATTTCAAAACGCTACTAACAATTTTTTGGGGTCGGGCACATGTGTTTTTATTAATTGGGGTACGTTTATTAATAGGAACTAGGGATTACTCCATCCATGCCTAGAGTATGGTTGAAACCAAGGTCTTCGTGAATGGCACCGGCCTGCGGTAGGTCAAAACCCTTACGTGCTTCTACACAAGCATCCCATTGAAAGTCCCGTGCCCCTTCCAACACTGCTTGCTCTGCGTTGGTCGACCGTAGATACCTGATAAGAGTCTCTGTGTCAGGGTGACCCAACCGGTGATGAATTTGTCTCAACCATTTTCTTTGATCCGCCTCTAAACTCAAGAAACCCGGTCCATGACGTGCCAAATTTCTTGGAGGATTTCCAATGATCTCTTCATCCACTCCTACTTCAGGTGAGTCCAAACCAGCTGGATTCAAACCTTCAAGATCTTCTTTCCTATCCCCCAACACTTCTCCCGATGTTTCTTTTGCACGTTTCGTTTCAGTCTCTTGATCCGCAACCAGTTTCCGTTTCTTGTCAACATCCATTTCACACTCCGTAGCTCGTCCCCCGGGTTTTCCTCCTTTGGTTTGTCACTACGTGTCCCGAAAAGAGTGAGGGTCAATCGAGAGGGTATCCCTTTTCTAATTCGTTGTCTTTGTGGAGTTTCTGCCATTCTTCAACATCGCCCACCTGTTCAATCTCCCCAGTGCTTCTGTTCAATGAAAACGTTTTCCTTAAGTCCAGTCCGTCCAGGGGAGTTCCCGACTTCGGAATCCTCAGTCTCTCTGTCCCGCGACAAACTTCAACATGAATCAAACGAAAATCACAGAGTTCCTGAGCCAATCTAAAACATATCGATTCGCTACTCACGACGACACCGAACCTACTCTGGGCGCCAATTTGGCCAGTTCACCAAAGAGATCTGTCAGTCGTTTTGCATGAGTTTCCTTATGTGTTCTTTCGTTTGTTTCCTCGTTTTCCGTCCGGGGCTCAACACTCAAAGACTGTTTCGACAACAAACGACGTCTTTTGATGGCTTCTCCAATAAGAACCTGATCTACCTCTTCACCCTCTAACGGTACTTGGAGTTCTTCACGAAGCAAGGGTAACTCCGAATGGTTGCTCTGTACAACGCGGATCACGGCTTTCGCAAAGCTCGCAGTGTACTTCGCAGCCAAGGTGGACAAGGGAATCCAAACACCATCTGCCTTCACCTGACCTGCTATCTGTCTATGGAGATGTCCTTTGCTACAGTACCGACAATCAAGTGATCTGTGCATCTGTCGGGAGGTCGTCAGAACTACTGTTCTCTTTCTTAAAGGTTCACCTCTCCAGTTCAGGTTTCCTACTTCGCACATGTCCAAACACGGTCGTCAAGGTTCCACACCTCATCTGTTCCAACTCAGGTTGGAGAAGAAGTTCCGAACCTACTGGTTGTTCCAAATGAAAATGATTGCCTGTTTGCACCTGGTGCCAGTAAAGTTCCTCACACAAACAGAGGTTTGGCTTCTCGTGTCGTCTTCCTTCCATGACATGTTTTCTCATCTTCAAACTTCTTCCCATGTTTCTTCGTGCGAAGTTTCCCCACAGTTTGCAGTCAGGTGATGCCCAAATGTGTCTGGGACGTCGTGCTTCAATGATGGCCCATAGATGGGCTTGGCCTTCTGGGGTTCGCAGGTCGCCATCCTGGAGTGTGAATCTTTGGACTGACAGTCCCATCTTGCTGGCTGTGTGTGTGTGTCAGTTGGGAATCCGGAAAACAGTATATCTCCAGGATGTCCAACCGTTTGCTCGAATTGGAAAATCGTGGTGCTAAGTGACGTGTCCGAATGTCAGTCGAGTGGTGTGCCAGTTCTTCCAGTTGGTGTTCAATCTTTGTTACCAAGTTGGCTAACTCCTTGTCAAAGAACTTCATGATGGAAGTGTCCTCATTGGATTGTCCATCACCATCTGGATTTTCCTGGACTACTGAACTCAACTTCTCAATTGGTTGTTCTAGGCATCTTCCGCCTCGGCTGGCAAAATACGCCTCATCTCGTCCTGCAGCAGAGCAATCTGCCTCTGAATTTGCTCCACTCTCAGGCTGGCCTCGTGGGAGATCTCCACCTTCATGTTCCACACCTGGTCGTCGGCGGGAGGACCACGTTTTGCTGCTGCTGACCCACTTGCTGACGTCGTGATCCTTGCTGGGACTTCCGAGCTTGGAGAGCCCTTCCACTCCTCGATCACATCCCAGTCCGTGGCCGCTGCTCCATTCATAGCCCACTCCTGCTTCATCTTGGCCATCATAGTGGGAGTCAAAACCGCCTGATGCAGTTCCATCTTGGGCACCTGATTTGCTTGCTCCACTGCCCGCACATAGTTCTGGAAGCTCATGGCCCACGGAGAGGTCAGGTCTCCCTTCTTCTTCATGAACTCTCCATAGCTCGCGTCGACAGCCAGGGCTTGTGCAAAATGTCTTTCCGACGTGTTTCCCGCCGGCCAGCACTTGATCTCCCCAATCCCTCAAGGTCGTCACTCCTGGCGGCTTCACGATCTTGAACTCGTTGGGCTCCGGTGCCATAGCCAGAGCATGATCCTCTGGGAATGGGAGAGGGACGTCCAATCCCACGGAGGCTGGGCGCCATCGGTATCGGGACTGATGGATGGCTTCTCGCACGTGCGTGATGCTGGGGTTGCTGCTGGTGTGTGGAGATGGTGACGTGTTGACGAGTGAGTGTCTTTCTCTTCCGCTTTTCTATCTTTCTTTTCATCGTCATGTTAGTCACGACCTCCCATGATTCTTCATGCAAATCTTCAACTTGTGCATGCTTCAGGATTTCCACAAGATCAACCAAAAACAAACCCTTCTCACTCACATCTAAAGGAACATTGACTTTGCCATGAAACATGCACAACATCTTTCGCGACGTGCAAATGTCGGCTGCCACTGCTTTCAAGAATGCGTTTGACAAAAGAAATGGCGTTGTCCCGTCTACCACTTCAAGTTTTAACCACCTACTACTTCCAAAAGGAATGAACACAGCACCCAAACTAGCCAATGTCCCATTGTTTCCAAATCGAAACACCGTTTCAGACTTCTGCCATGAGACACGTTTCACAAAATCATCCGGCAAGTTTCGCATTAACTGCTCCAACCGCTTTTTCCCGATCACGGATTTACTAGCTCCAGTTGCAGTGCTACCATGATCCACAAAAAACATCGGCTCGTGTCGAGTCTCACACCTGACATGCTTTCCGTGAACACTTTCACTCAAACCCCTTCTGAGTGTACGTCTCATCTCGGTAATGGTCAGAGCAGTCAAAATGAATTCTTCATTAACATGGGTCTCTATTTTAGAAGCCCTGCAAAAGTGGGAAAGCATACACATTTTCCCGACCTGGTCGTCATACAGGTGTTGGTTCGAAGTCTTGCCATGGTCGGTCTCTGACATCGTGGTCGTCGGCATCTCCGGAATCGTCATGCGGGTGTTGATCTTGGGCCACCAGTCTGGTAGAGCTTGTTCCAAAAAAAATTGGAAGTCGATCAAGCACTTCTTGCTCTGTGGGACCCAGGAATTCACCTTCCATAGTCGAAACATGGATCTCCGCTGAGGTGGCGTTCTGATTGCTTCCGGCACTCTTGTTGGGGCACTCTTGACGCCAATGTCCTCTGGCGCCACACAAGCGACAGTTGGAATTAGCGATCCTCTCTGCCAGCAACTGTCTTTTCCGAAAACCACCCTTCTGGTTCCAGGAGCCCTTTTTCGACTTCTGCTTTCCTTTTCCTTTGAGAGGCGGCCAAAAGCCACGAGCTCTGATCTTGTCTCTCACACGGCTGCGAGCCTCAGTATGGGCTGAAAAGCACATACTGAGATCTGCATTGTCCTGGCATGCTTCCACGAGCTGGTCCTCGAACTCTGCAACCATCAGAGCGTTTTCATCGCCTTGGTCAAGCAATGTCTGGATTCCCGTCTCTTCATCTGGCTGGTAATCTTCCTCAGCAACAAAGGAGGGAGCAGCATGGTCTTCATCTTCTTCAACGTAGTTGACTGGATAGACCTTTTTCTTGCTGTCGGTTCCTGAGCTGCCAACCAGGATCTTGGGAGCTAGCTGCCTCATCGCATCTTCAACCTTCTTTGCTTGAAGCTCACCTCCCGTCATCGAGAGTACACGTTTCTTGTCTTCGGCATTCAGGTAGCTCTGCCTGAGCATGATGAAAGCCTTAATCTCTTGGATGGACACGGATGGAATCTCTGCAAATGCCACATTCATACGATTGACGTATGAGAACAGGCTCTCATCTTGCTTTTGCATCACACGATACAATGCTCGTTCAAATTTATCATAGGTCTGCAATTCCGCTGAGTCTTCCCATGATGCCACTGCTCCCAAAAGAAGTTTGACCCCACCTTCAGGATCAGAAAGTTTTGATCCATCCAATGACTTCACTTGGGCCCACGCTGTTCCTTTCATCAACAGCGCTAGCCTAGGAGGTAGGATAGGCTTGTCTTTGGGTGGGCATATGGAATGCAGGAATCGAACTTTGTCTGCGTATTCTCTGGGGTCATCTGTCGTTGGGTCGAAGCTAGGCAGGATGTTCCAAATGTGTCCTGACTTCTCATCTCCAGCACTGCTCTCAGTGCCGGCCATGGCTCACTGCAAATGCGAGTTTAAAAAGTCGTGCAACAAAACCGGAATTCCACAATGCGACCTCACTAGGTAAATTCTCCTATAGCCCCAACAGGAAAAACACCTACGCCCCCTCTACGGGGGCTCCGCTACCAATGTTAATCTTTCCCTGAGATAATGTGAGAAAACCCTGTTTCCCTGCCGACAAGCGTCCACGCCTTTCTTCCAAGTGTCTAAGCCTCCCACCCACCCTTTCGTGGGTTTGAACATTGAACAACCAAGGAGCCGTTGCGAGACCGTCCGATCCAAACTAGCGAGTTTGACAATATATATATATATATGTGTGATGGCTCCCAACCAGATCCGATGCTTTGCGGCCCGTCAATGTGAGGGGGTTCATATGCTTTATCAAAGCACTCTAGGACTGTATATGACCATGGAGCTTAGCATGTGCACCCACATTGATTAGCCACTCAAAAAATCTTCTTGGAGGCCTTCCTCCCGGGCAGCCTTCCTCTTCAGTTGGAATGGCCCCATCTTCCGCTCTGAGTTTGAAGCGACGCTGGACAAGACTGAGGCCCGTTCGGAGTGGGAAACTCATCTCGAAACATGTGCAACTTTGCGTGACTGTTGCACTAACAATATGAGTTTGCCTTTTTTGTTGGCCAAGGTTTACTTCTCCAACCTCTCAAAGAAAGCTGAGCGGTTCAACCCTAGGGCGTGATTGAAAGCTGGGCTTTCGGCACACATTCCTTCAAATCTAGAAGCCTCAAAGTGATCTTTTGTAGTGAGAGCTGTGAGGGCAACCATTTCGTCGGCTTACTGGACGGATCCTTTCCACTGGTATCATTGAGTTTCAATTCAATAGAGCCTTGCCAACATATTCCTGTAAAAGAATTTGTGTAGTGGATGACTGTTTTTCTCCAATCTGTCAGCCCAACAAAAAGACAGGCTTTCTTAGCATGCGCAGGATCTTCTAGCCAACCATGGTGGGCCATTCTTCCACGGCGAGCAGGCAGCAATTGGTTCTTGGCTTGCGACAAGTGAAATGCTGATGGGCCAAAACTGATGTTTTTCACTGAAAGGGTTTCTGGCAACGGCATGCTTACCGGGCCATTGATGAAAGAAGACAAACGAGATCAAACAAGCATATTGCTAGAGACATCCCGCAAAGCCCACGCATTCCAAACGTTCTGCCCAGATCTCTGCGGCCGACTGTGCTTGGGCTCCATTTTTGGAGCGCTATGCAGCTCAGCTGCCGTGCCTTCACCGTGGCCTTTGGCCTTACGACCCACGGCGAGATCACGACCGGGCCAGACAATGGTCTGTCCAAGCTTTGTTGAAGGAATGAGCCCCACAGATGCGAAAAAGAGCAGAAGGCTCTGCAGTGCAACCGGAGTAGTTTTGAACAAGTGTAAAACACAAGGGAGGAGAGGGATCACTGTTTTAAGTTTCAATTGTTTTGATAGGCTTAAAAGCGCCACCGAATGTATTCAAGAAATAGGAAATACATCCTGGACAAGAGCCAGAGAAGAAGCTCCAGGAAATCTCAAGAAAAGGAGACTTCACCCTTGTCCTAGGACCCATCCCATTGGCCCCGTTTGGGTGCTTGGTATGAAGCAATGGACGCCAAGTTCCCGGCTTACTCTGCCCGCATTCGCGGGGATGAAGTGTCCTGGCGGAAGGTGCTTGCTCAGGCCAGACTAGACAGCGAAGCCACAATTCTAATATTCTAAGGCTTGAATGCTTGTCCAAAGCCTATTTTCAGAGCTTTGAGGAACCAAAAAGGCAAAACTACCGATCGGAAAGCAACCTGCATTATTCAGCTCGGAGAGGCTGGCTATGGCAATGCTGGAGTGCCACCTGATTTGGTCGAGGCCTCGTTATACCCTTTACAAGATACGGGGGTGCCGTCATTGAGAAAGCAGCAAACAAAGTCAGGATATTTGCTACTGTCAACCTGCTTCCAATGGGTACCCATTGCAAACGCGTTTTCTTTACCATGACCTGGTAGGAAGATGCTGAACATCCCCAGCCTTCGGTTGGTGCTTGGGCCACATATGCTGCTAACCGGCCACATGTGGCACCTACACCGCATGAGGAAGTGGCGAATCGCATTGTGCGGAATCGCTGCCTGCCTGAAGGAAGGAGTCGCAGTATTAAAAAAGCCTAGGCCAGAAACCAAATGGCCATCTTTCACAGCACTCTCCATTCTCAGAGAAGAGCACGTGCTTGCAAGCAGGGAATCCTAACCTATATAGATGTTTTGGCTCGACATCGGTCTTTGCTCACTTTTTGAGGGGATCCAATCTGTTGCTTCATGCGGACAGCAAGCAGTGAAAACAAGTCATGTTTACAGGCTGGGGTTTCGCCCTCCCATTCGCGGGGATTGCTTAGGAGAAGCTTTGGCCAAAGATGCTGTCGCTTCGGGTGTGAACAGTGAGGACGTCGACGAAGGCTTGCGAGCGGTGGCTACAGCGCTCCTTGAGGCGATATCCACGCCTTTGGAATCATCTTCTAGTCAAAGCAGAGCACTTGTAATAGTAAGCATGATTCCAAGGTACTCAAGATGAGTTAGGTTCATGTGGTTGTTCTGTTTTTTTGCATGTCTCCCATGTCGACCGCTTGCAGGAGCCAAAATGCTTGAGCAGGAGGGCTTTGTCCCTGGCGACCTACCTTGACGACCGCCTTTGCGTACCACGAGACCTTGGCTATTTACCTGGTAAAGCACTTCGCCAGCTTGTAAGAGCTTGCCAGGAAGCCTAGCTTGATGCAATGACATCAAAAGAAGCTGCTTTACAGAGAAGTGTCCGATTTGGATTGATACAATTATTCACATAAAATCGCACACCACAGCGGGATTGTTGCAACACCTCATGCCTTGCACGTGCAATGCCCTTGATTTTAATGCAACAATGTGCCGTACACACTTTGAAGAGAAGATATCCTCCCGGCAAGGATTTCAAGGAAGCCATTTATTGCAACTTTGCCAACAGATGTCGTTGATTAGGTTTATCAACTTATCAACAGCATTCTATGAGTGCTTCACTGACAACTCCAGTGCTTTCCTACAGCTCCTGAGCCCACCTTCAAATGGATGTGGCTGCAGGGTGGCACAAATGCCACGATTAAGACACTTTTTTGTACGATACGCTTGCTTCACAGTCCTCTAGGACACTCTTACTTGACACCCTTCCAGACCACTTTTCTGCAACAATTGTGCCTTTTCAGCACGAGGCTCTTGTACGTCACTCTGGCTTGTTGAGTGGGTCTTGTGAAATATGGAGCCCGCAGCTGCGACAAGCTACTCAGCGCACTGCATCTCCACAGTAAAAGAAGCCAGATTTCCTCGAACACAAGTGCTTTTGTGCGGCATATGTCTTAAAGTGAAGCGTCGTGTCTCCACAACAAACGCGTCGTACACAGCCAGTGCCGCAATCTTAGCACCTTCGAAGAGATCTAATAGCTCGATCACGATAAATCAGGATAGCTGCTCAGCCTTTCCGCTGTTGACATGCACACGAATGCTCGTACTTGAGCGCCGCAACTCAAGGGACGGAAAGGCTACATGAACTGACAAATAGTATCAAATTTTGGCATTTCATGAATTTTCATATGTGAAGCTCAACAAAGCCACATGACTAAAGAACTCGAACAAATTAGCCCAGCTGGAGACCCCAATAGCAAGATACAAACCGGGACAAAAACAAAAATCTGGAAACAACTGCTGTTTTCAACACATCGACCATCTCTTTGTTGGACACCATCATCACATAACCGGGACACCATCACAAAATGACCAGGGCACCATCAAAACATGACCGAGACACCGTCACAACATGATTGGGACACCATCACAACATAACCGGGACACCATCACAAGGTGACCGGGACACCAGCATGACATGACGGGGACACCATCACAACATGACCGGCACACTATCACAACATGACCGGGACACCGTCACATGACCCGGACACCATCAAAACATAACCGGCACACCGCCAAAACATGACCAGGACACCATCACAACATGACCGGGACACCATCAAAAAATGACCGGGACACCGTCACAACATGAGCGAGACACCATCACAACATGACCTGGACACCGTCACAACATGACTGGGAC